GCCACTGGTGATGGAGTAGCCGGACGATATGTATGTATCGACATAATTGCATGACTTTATATGGATTTAAGATATATTAATTAAGGTGTCTAAATGTGGATTACATTATTTAAGAAGTGCCCGGTCAATGCCCGCGATGCACCCGGGTGTGTCCACGAACGTTTGAGGGCCTAGATTTGTCAAGTCCGGCTGTAAATGCTTTGACGGTTCTGCTATTTTTTTTACTCCACCAAAGAGTGTATGACAATCGAGTGATTTTCATTTATTACTCCCACTGTCCACAATATATATATTTTTAAAGATTAACATAACTTCAAAAACATTTTATATTATGGAACAAAGAGAGTAATACGTTACAATGATATTTTAAATAGATATATAAAAGATAAAAGAAGAACTTGCCTAAGCCTAAAATAGTTCGTTTCACTAATTGTTTCCGGCTAGCTTGTCAACCCGCCCCCAACCGGCGTGGCTAACACGTCTCCCTTCCTGTCCGGTCCTAACTAAGCCTAAAATAGTTTGTTTCACTATTGGGGACGATGGTCGTGCCGACAAAGGCCCCGCGTGGGGTGGGCGGCTGCGGCGAAGGAGCGGGCCATGGTCCGGGCGGCGGGCGACGGGTGGGCAATTGATGGGCGGACGGAAGGAAAATGAAAGCTTTGGGCAGTCCGCCTTTTTACATCTCTTATAGATGTAGATGTATATTTGCGTCACGGAATATTGTAGTTTATATTTTGAGGAGGTGGAGATGTAAATTTTTCCATCTACATCATCTGCTAGAGAAGTGTTTTTGGGTTCTCGAGATGCAAAAGTTACGTATTTTTTATTAGAGGTAAATACACTGTAAGTCATAGAACTTGCACGCGACGGTCAGTTTGGTGCATAAATTTGTAAAATACGTGTTTCTGGTCATCTAACTTGTCCCTCCGTTCATATACGATGCTTTCTACCGTATTCAGCTGTATCATGTCAATACATGGCGTGCCAACGTGGCAGGGGTCCATTGTCAGCGGTGGGTAACCCGTGTGCACTATTTTTTTTTCAGGAAGCACCCTTGCATTTTTTATACAAAAAATCCTTAAATAAAATGAAAAATGATGAACGAACATTGGGATTCGAACAGAACACCTGCTACGATCCGCCATGCTTCGATAACCAATTGACCTACATATTGTTCACACTCTTGGAGCACAATTAGCTTTATATAAGAAATACTGTACGACCTTAAAAAAAGACAGTACGAGTTAAAATAGAAACCAAAACGAGAAAAAGGAAAGGCACCGGTTCGAACCTATGACCACATTTTTTTAGAAGAACCTATGAACACATAAGCTCGCCGCGTGTGGGAGCACCAACCATCCGGCCACAATGAGTTAAAAAAACATCAGCCACAATGACATTTAAATAGATAAACACAATTTATCTTATGTATTCTTCTTTCTTTTTTCTATTTACAATAAAATATAGTTCATAATGAATATACGTCAATTTCTTTTGGACAATCAACAGAACTCATTATAAATTCAAAAATCTAGATAAAAAAATTATATGTAAAAAATAATGTACATAAATTTTTCGGAGAAAATTAACTATTTTTTGTTTGAATTCAAATAATTTGAAAATTAAAAATATGGAAAAGTGAATATAGTGCACAATGAATATACACATTTTATGGGGACAAATCAGAAAAACTTTGTTTCAAATCGAATAATTCGAAATTTGAAAATCTAGAGAAAAGGAATGTGGCTCAGAATAAATGTAAGTATTGTTCGGACAAATCATCTAATTTTTGTTTGAATTTGAATAAGCTATATAAAAGAAATACAGTTCATAATCAATGTACGCAAATTTCTTTCGAACAAATCACTGGATATTTTGTCTGAATTTGAATATATTAAAATTGGAAAATCTTGATAAAAGAAAATACAGGTCCGAATGAATTTACGTAATTTTTTCCCGGAAAAATCAAATAATTTTTTTCTTTAAATTCGAATTTTAAATTAAAAATCTAGATAAAAGAAAATGTTGTGCAGAAGGAATGTATGTAATTTTCTTTCGAACAAATCAGTGGAAATTTTGTTTGAATCTGAATCATTTTGAATTGGAAAATGTAGAGAAAAGAAAATATATTCAGAATGCGTACTTTTATCCAAGAGGTGATATACCTTAGTAGTCCAAATGAAACAGCAAGCAAGATCAGTTGTGGTGGTTAGGTTGTTAGCGCCATTACAACAGTTTGCAGTTTCGAACTTGCTCCGTCCCATTTTTTCCAGCCAAATGTTTTTATAGCGAATACTGACGACTGGGACCCAGCGGACAACTATTGTTGGAGTGCTTTTGTACAAAGTAAAAAAACAAGGGTGTTTTTGCAGAAAAAACATCACATGCACTAGGCACTGACAATGGGCCCTTGCTACACTGGCATTGCCACGTAGGCAGCAAATACATCCACGTACGGGAAATATGACCGTATTTGCACACCCGCACAAGTTTAATGACCAGAAACATGTATTTTGCAAGTTCGTGCACCAAACTGATAGTTGCGCGCAAGTTGTAAGGCTTCTAATGTATTTAACTCTTTTTATTATATCTATATACATCTTCTATCTTCTGTAGTACCGCACTTTACAGAAAAATCTGCTTTAAAAAGGCGCCACCCTTGAAAACTCTCCCCCCATACCTTTTTCCCACCGAATTGCGTGGTGGGGGTGGACCGCGACCGCCTCTCCCTCCTCCGCCTATCCGCTCCGTCCTCCACACGTCAGGCGTGCCGTGTCTCTTCTTCCTTCCCTCCCTCCCGTCCGAGCCTGCTATAAATTCCCCGTCCCCTCCCGTCTCCTCTCCACACATCCGATCCAATCCAATCCAGTCCCCCTCCGATCTCACCGAGAAATCGACGCGAAGGCTCTCTGCCCGTCCTCAAGGTATGCGAGTCTCCGATTTTTCCGCCCCTTCCTCCTGTTCGTGCTCTGTGGTCGCTGTTAGGAGTACTTTTGGTCGATTATTGTTGGTTCCCCTCGATTCGTGTTAGTAGTTTGGTGTAGATCTGCGGACCGAGTCTGTTATCGTCGATTGATTGCTGCTGGTTCGGTCAGTCGAGGTTGATTAGACTCGATTGTAGGTTAATCTCTCGATTATGCCTGTGTTTTCGAGTAGATCTGTCGATTGGGATGCGATTGCTGTTGGTTTGATCTATCTATATATGCTGTAGTTAGCTATGTCTGCTGGTTGTTGATAAATCTGCACAGTATTCTTGGATTTACGATTTTGTACCCCTCGTATTACACCTGCAATTTGCTGCGCACCTTGTTTTGCTGTAGCTGTGCATCGATTCTACTCTTGACCTTTTACCTTCATATTGCTCTCACAAAGCCAAAGATTGCCTGTAGATCTGCTAATATATTTCTGTTGAGCTCTGTTAGAATTTAGCACTGCATGCTCTGAAATCCGTTTGCTTAGTCTGGCGGATTCTTTGTACTGTGGCCTGGTTTATCTATAGTTTGACGTATTGTAGATTTCCAGTATTGTTGTGGTTTCGGCCCTGTAGTCGCTGCTTGTTTAGAGGGTGTTTGTTTCCAGGGACTTATTGGTCTAGGGACTTAAATAAGTCCCTATAAGTCCCATCTAAATCAAACAGGAGGGACTTATAGGGACTTAAAGTGGGCATTTGGGACTTACGAAATAAGACTGTCAAGGAGGGACTTATAGGGACTTATAGTTGTAATATGGTCTTATAGAGACTTATAAGTCCCAGGAACCAAACAGGTAGGGACTTTTTAGGGACTTGGGACTTATAAGTTGGGACTAAAAAATGCCCTAGGACTTATGAACCAAACAGGGCCTGAGTCTTTTGATTCAACTCTTAAATACATGTGGGTTTGAAGAATTACTGCAGATTCGTCCATGACTTGACCAGCTTGTTCTGTTCAACTGATTAATATATACTCCCCATGAGGCTAGAGATTGCGCTGATAAGTCTGCTCATATTTTGTTATAGGGGTTCTTACAGAAGTGTTAATCATTTAGTTGCTTATTCTAGGGGATTCCTTAGTTACAATTCCATCTCTGTTGTATCATCTGATTCATTTATTGTTTGATCTCCTACAGATTTCTCTGTACGGTTTCTAACTCTTGTTCTGTGTGCTTTGTTGTTTACAGATGCAGATCTTTGTGAAGACCCTCACCGGCAAGACCATCACCCTCGAGGTCGAGTCGTCGGACACCATCGACAATGTCAAGGCCAAAATCCAGGACAAGGAGGGCATCCCTCCGGACCAGCAGCGTCTCATCTTTGCTGGCAAGCAGCTTGAGGATGGCCGCACCCTTGCTGACTACAACATCCAGAAGGAGTCCACCCTCCACCTGGTGCTCAGGCTCCGTGGTG